TGAAATTTTTTCATTAAATTGCTTAATCTTGTGAAATTGTTTCATATAATATTTTTTTTGATGAATTTGTTTCATATATGGTTATGAAATTGTTTCATATAATATTTATTGAAATTTTAATGAAACTGTTTCATGTATTTCTCTAAAATTAAAATAATGAAGATGATAATATCCATGATTAACATTTTGCACAATAAAAATGGTTAATCAACCTCTCATAATTACAAAAAAATGAACAAAATGAAAAATTATGATTGGTTGAATGTGGTTTTTACGGTTTGTACTAATTAGGTGGTTTTTATTTGAATGCTCCTCTAAATAAACAGAGTATATATAAGGTTGGATTGTAATGAGAATTGTAGGGTTGGGTTCATGTGAGACCAATGGTTTTTCGTGAGACCCGTAAGACCAATTTATGTTCATTGATCAACTTTATAAGCTATATGATCTAATGGTCTAAAGTTACACGGTGACAATTTTGTGCTTATAGAGAAGTCTCGTGATACTTGTGTGATTATGAATATTCAGATTGTAGATCGAATCCAAGGGTTGAGAATTGGTTTTACGTGTCTCACGAAAAACCCTTGGTCTCACGTGATCTCAAGTCGAGAAATGTAATTCTGGTGAAAGGTGTGAGAAATGAACATGGTGGCATTCGCATAACATATGTACATGTACCCTTATATTGTGTCAAAGTGTGTGGAGGTGACTACGTTCACAGAAATTGGTGAAGGTACAACCTCATCCTCTTCTTCATCTTTATTAGATCTCACTGTTTGTTTTGTATTGTTTTGCAATTTTAATGGAGAAAAACTATCAAGCAAATTGTCAAGAGGTGGGAAACATGGTGGTGTTGGTGCCATTGTTGATGAAATTCCATTCATCAAGATGTTTCTTTGCAAGTACTGACATGAAGACTATGCCATGGTCTCATCTCAAACTATTTCTGGCTTTCCTTTTGTAAGTACCCTTATCACTTGATCACCCTCTTCTTCTTTCGCCTATGGTCTGTTGCCTTCATCACTACCTTAATTATTGCTCATCATCTCGAATGAAACGAGAAGATGATGATGTGAACAGAAGAAGCAGATGTAGCAAAGATGAAGATTTTTGAACCACAAGGGTGGTGCCTGATTGGTTTGAGCTTAACTCCAAATGTCAAAAGTACCAGAAGGTCTCAGGTTCAAATCCAAGGAGAAATAAAAATCCCCTTGTGGCCACAGAGGTTCAAATATGGTGACTCTGGGCTATCTGCAAAGCAGGTGGTCGTCTTGGGGTTAGTCGGCTCGCATAGTAGGTTGAATATCCAAGTTAATAAAAAAAAAGATTTTATCATGGGCTTGATTGTAATTTAGGTTTTAGTTTTGATTTAAAGTCTTGAATCAAACAATGTCTTGAAGTTCTATTGAGTGATTGTTCAGTCAAAGACGTTTTCAATATTTGTTGAACTTTGATTGTTGAAAATTCTGCATTTTGTGTTTAATTTACAAAAAAAAAAATGTATGGTAGTTAGCATCAAACAATGGTGGAGGGTTTTCGCGTGTGAGTTAGAATGGATGGTGGTGAGATTAAAAAAGAAAAAGAAAATAAAGATATTATATAATGTTCCATAATATATTTTAACAGAAAATATGATGAAAATAGGAAAATGACTGAAATGTCCCTCACTTAATAGGATTTAATAAAAAAAGTTAACGATTGCTAAATAGAGGGACGGAATCTGTTGGACTGAACAAACATGAGAGATGAAAACCGCTTAAATAAAGTTTAGCGAGGAAAACTGTTAAAATGGACCAACATTGAGGACGAAAACCAAACATTTACACTATACATAAAGTTTTAATGAATTTTTTAAAATTTTGAAAATTCTCTAATTTATTTTTACTTAAAGAACAATATAGAGAAACTGTTGAAACAAAATAAACTGTTGAAACAAAATTGAGAAGAAAAAAGCTTCAATTTCTTCATCTTTTAAAAATCTGTTAAAGATGCTTTATAAATACAACAGAAAAGTAATGCCCAAAACAGAAATAAAGAATATTACGTCTTCAATTTTTTTTCACTTTCTCCATCGAATAACCGAAAATATATCATTCTCTTTATTAAATAATGAGTATATAATAAAATAATATTAAACAAAATATTAATAATATACTTTAAAAAATATTAATGGATAAAAAAGACACAACACTTTCATTCCTCAAACACTTGCACTTCCAATGCCATATCTTATTTTTATATCTTTTAATAAAAAATATGAATTTATTATATATATATATATATATAAGGTTGGATTCACGTGAGACCTTGAGACCATTTTTTTACACTTGAAACTTCACAGTAAAACATTATGAAGATAAAAAAAATGAACTTTCACAGCCAAAACACTGTAAAGATTACCTTCAGAATGTTTTGCTATAAAGTTTTAAGTGTAAAAAAAGGTCTCACAGGTGTCACGAAAACATAATGATCTCACATGATCCCAAGTATGTGCATATATATATATATATATATATATATATATATATTATTTAATATGGATAAGGCTCAAAATATCATTACTATTATCATATAAACTAAAATTAAGTAAATACCAAATTTCATAGAATTTTGTAATAAAAAGAGTGCAACACCAAATTAATGTAAGTGAATAGTAAAACATCAAATTGATGTGAGTAATACTATTCACCAACATCAAAATGGTATCATAATTGATGTTTTATAGGATAGAAATAGTGTGAATAATGGTGCGTAAATTGGGATTTGATGTTAGATTGGTCTTTAACAGTTCCGTAAATTTCATATTTTGACGAATAAAAAGCTTCAACCGATAAGCAAAGGAAGAATTGTAAATTTTTGGAGAATGAAGAGAAACGATATATATATATATATATATATATA